CTCTTTCTTTCATATCACATATCAATCCATCAGCAAATCTTGTCAACTCTGCCTTCACAATGTATCCTTAATTAGATCCTGAATCCAGCCCCTTCTCAGCATCAACACTTTCTAGTTCAAGCCCCATCATGTCTTTCTGGACTACTGTTACACCCTACAATGGACTCTTCATTTCCATTCTTATCTTTCTTCTCTTTCTTCTTAACCTCCTCTCTCTACTCAGCCAGAGGGATCCTTTCAAAAAGAAAAATTAGATTATACTATTTCCATGCTTAGATCTATCCATCATCTTCCCATGTTTAGAATAAAATCCCAAGATCTTGCTATGCTCTAACCCTGCTTACCTCTCCAATTTCATTTATTATCACACTAATCTTGTCCATTATGCTTCATCCACAAGACTCTTTGCCATTCCTTATATATACAAGCAAGTTCTTACTCCAGGGCCTTTACACTTGCTTTTCCCTCAGATACTGATATGGCTCATTCCCTCACTTTATTCAGGTCTCTGCTCAAATATCACCTCTCTGAGAGGCCTGCCCTGACCACCTCTGCTAAATGGCACCCTTTTTCATGCCTTATTCTTTTATCCTGCTTTGTCTGTCTTCTTAGTGCTATCCACGACCTTACTTCTCCATTAGAATGTAGACTACATGAAGGCAGAAAGGTTGCCTGAATTGATCACAACTATGTTTGCATGGAATAGTCCTCAGAAAACTGAAGTGCTCAAGCAATATTTGTGGCATGAGTCAATGAGTGAATATTGAGAGTTCAGTGCCAAATTTCTGGTTTATATATTCAGGGATGTTCTGAGTTGGAGTTTCTAATAAAAAATATTAAATGACTAAATTCTACCGTAAGTTATTTTAGGGCTCCATTCATCACTTACAGACTAAACAAATTTCAGAGATTTGGCTTCGTATGAGAGCATCACTGCAGAGAGACTCCAGTACACGTTGTGATATCATTTGCTGATCTGGAGATTTTGATGCCAGAAATATGAGCCTCAAGCTCAGCATCCAGGCTTAATAGCTCTCAGAGGAAACGTGTATCAAAATAACTTTATATAATGTAGAAAAAAAGCATCCATTCTATTTTGTTGTTGTTTTTTAGCCTCTGAAATTTTAATCTATTTTTTCCAGGATACAAATATCATAAGTTATTGACAACATCTCAAAATGTCATCATATTTCTCCCTTTATCTGGTGACTGACAATTTGTTTAAGACCTACCAAAAGATAGCAGTAAATCTTTTGATTAAAAGAGTGAGAATAGGGCTTCCCTGGTGGCGCAGTGGTTGAGAGTCCACCTGCTGATGAAGGGGACAGGGGTTCATGCCCCGGTCTGGGAAGATCCCACATGCCACGGAGCGGCTGGGCCCATGAGCCATGGCCGCTGAGCCTGCGTGTCCAGAGCCTGTGCTCCATAATGGGAGAGGCCACAACAGTGAGAGGCCCGCGTACCGCAAAAAACAACAACAAAAAAAGAGTGAGAGTAAAGATACATATATTTCCTCATTGAGTTAGTGCAGGCCTACTTGTATCTTTCATCTCTATGCTATTTTTTAAATAAATTGTAAAAAATGTTTTCATCTCCTATAATGTCATGGAAAATATCCAAAGTTTTCTTATGCTGATTCATTAAGTGTGCTTACATGCAATTAGACAAAATAATAATATTGAAAAAAGCAGATTTCTTGTTTCATTGCTTTAAGAGAATAATAAAAATGGAATCATTCAAGTCACACCACTAATTTGAATACATTATTATTTTAAAAGAAAGTAAACAAATGAGTTAAATATTTTTTTGCTTTAACCACTTATTTTTAAACTGAAAGATTAAGTTACTCTGAAGTTGTGAGGATAAGGACTATACTGTATTTGTCTCCTACCTAGGACACATAAATAGATGTTCAATAAATATTTTTGGAGTGAATGAATGTACCACTTAAGAACGTACCTCAGAAATTAAACTAGAAATTTAGAGCAATCTTCTTAGAGCTTGATTTGCACCAAATCCAAGTTTGCAAAATGTTAACATTAAGGAAGAAGCAATTGCTTTTTGAAAGTCTTCCTTTCATAAAAGAAGTCCTTTAATATTACTAGTTTCCTTAGTTCATGTAAAATATTATTTGGGTTATAAAAATTGATTTTGTGTATAACTGTTCACAGACAATATTTTCACAAATGTGAATATAAAAGTGTTAATGGAAGGCAAACTATGAGTGATACACTTTTCTAGGCAGAGTGTGGAAGAGTTTTTAAGATGAATAACATTTTGCACCTGCTTTTGAGTTGCAGACAATGTGGACTGCTGGGTAAACAGAAGGATTCCAGACAAGAATTCAGGGAAGGACAGTATCAGAAGTTCAGTGACAAGGAAGTGAAGTCACTCACTCCATGGAGTAAAGCTTAAATCCTCTAAATTGCATTTCAGACATTTTACATTGGGTTTTATACTAGGATAAGCATATCTTTAAAGCAAGAAATATGTGACATAGAGAGGATGGGAAATTTCAAAGGGGCATTTGACTCTTATTTGTGTATGTGCCATCACATTTCATGTGCTCAAGAACTGTGCATTTCTACAACTTGTTTCAGTAACTAAAACAGAACACACTGATCTAAAAGAATGAGCAGATGGAATTCAGTCTGGACCTGAGGGACATGACTTGCCATGTTCATTGGTCCCTGACATGAATTGATCTGAGACAGTGGGATTTTCAGTGTGTTTCACTAGTTGCAAATGTCTTCCAGGCATGCCTTTCAAAAAGCTGGGAGGAAAGGCACACAACAAGTAAAAAATATCATTCTGATAAATCGGTAAGGTCAAAAAATCTCTATCTTGGGTAAAACCCAGTTCAACTACTGAACAAACAGAATCCTCCTTCTAGACTGGTTGCTGCATAAGGTAGTTTTCAAGACACCTTTCTTCTTACTGCAAACTGGGTCAAACTTACCCAAATACTTGGTAACATTTTATGGTACCTGGTATGCACCAATAATTCCTTCTGACCCTTTCTCTCCATAAGCAATCTTGTGGAATTTAATTTCCCATCTTAATATTGTGGGTATTTTCAGGTACCTATATTTGGCCACTTTTAAACTTATTTTACTAAGAGAGTAAAGATCTGTGGTTTAAATTAGAATAAAATCTATGCCAGAGATAACAAAAGGCTTTGGGTTTCTATTTTTCTTATAAATAAAAGGGTAAATTGTGTTAATGCAAAAGAATAGGTATGTTTATCTTCCAGATTTTTTCTAATAGTTAACTGGTTAATCAAAATGTTTTATTTACAGAAATAGAAGGGCCGTTCCTCAACACTGTCAGACACTTCCAGCTTAATTAACATGGGTTTGGTGACCTTATCAAGACACAAAATCATATTTTAAAAAATTCACCAAGGAGTTTGAGATATTAAGGTTGGCTACCATGTAGACAAAAAAAAAAATCTTTTACCCTCTCTCGAGTAATAATTAAACTGATTAGAAATTCTAATAAATTAACCTAAGATATTTAACCCTGTTTTAGTCACCTAATACTTCCAGAAAATTATTTTTTCCTTTCCATCAATCTTATACTTTAAAGGAAACTTACTGAATTGCAGATGTACAACCAATATCCCTAGATAGAAAAGAAGGTCATTTTTAGAAGAAACCAATCTCAAATGAAAGCACAGCCTTCTGCATGGTCACATACATATTACACACTCATTACCCACTGTGAAAAAGTAGGTCATTCCTCATTTCTTATTTATTCCCTGGCACAATCAGACCACATGATGAAATGTGAGATGCTTCAGAGTTACTGTCAGGACATGAAACCCAAGACAGTGAGCAGGACAACAGCCACTGGCAACAAGGCAAACTCCAACAAAGTCTGGATTTGGATTTGGTTTTATGTTACTGGAAGCATATTTGCTCTAGTTTTTAATAGTTCATAAGAAACAGAAATCATAATGTATCAACATAGTATCCACCTACAAAGAGTTCAAAAAAGCCAAAGTTTTCCCCTCGTTCGCCCTCTTGTTCCACCAACATTTTGAAAACAAAGGAAAAAAATTAAAAAAGAGAGAAAGAACACAGAAATGATTTAAATAATTTCAAATCCTTATTAAACATCACTGAAGTGCATTTGATCCATCAGGCTGACTTTCAGTTCTTACCACTAAGACCTTGCAGAGAAACTGGATTTACGTAGTTTTGCCTTCCAGGATTGATCTAGAACTGTAGAGGTGAGATGTGTACGAATATGGGTGTGGGTTTTAAGTCCGTTTTATGAACACGGACACAGGACAATTCTCATCATTTGTAGTAGTCTTTGGAGTCCAATCATGCAGAATAACAGGCAGGTTCAAGTCAGGTCTTGTTGCAAGATAGACATGGCAAGGTGAACAGTTTAATGCTAACTAGGGGTGGGAGATTTGTGTCCATTAGAATATACTGGCCATTGGTCCCACGTAATCAAAAGTTAGATATACAGGAGTCCATATACAGAGGCCTTCCATTTCAGCCTGCTGACCAAGGAAATGTGTCAATGTGAGCCATTTCAGACAGCGAGAAAACTGCCCAAGTGCTAAAAGAAATAAAATCTTATATTTTAATCACATGGAAAATAATTAATATAACTATTTACATTATAACTTGATTGTTGTTCTTAGAGAAAAGAGTTTCCATTCTTGGTTCAATGGTATCTGTGGAAAATGTCTGTCTTTCACAATTAAAACGCGTGTGGGGTATTGTGAGTAGGGCGGGGGTGGGATTCCTCCTCAGACCCAAAGTGGGTGGGCTCAAAGATTCCTGGGGCAGCTTGATCCCTTTCTCTGAGCTATAGAAGATAACTTTTTCAGCAAAGCTGATGATTGTGTTCTGTGCAGAGCATAATGCTTTTAAGATTTAGATTGTCATATGTTAAGAGAATCAAATAGAAATAGACTTTGCAGAATTTAGATTTTGCAGTGACTAGTTAAAATTTAAAAGTCTGTTTTGCTTATTGTTTTCTTTTTTCCCTGGCAGGTCATAAAAGGCTTTATGTAATCTCACCTATTCTATTTATTCCATTTGCCAAGGCCTATTTTCGGATTTATCAGTCAGCTGCTATCAGTATCCACAGGTAATAATTTTCTGATAATGATAAAAGATTGAGAAAAAAACTATCCAGCTCCTTGGCCCTCAATTAAATAGTTTACTCCAATTGGAGGGAACTGACCAGACTCTGGTCCACCTGTGGGGTACATTCCCTCAAAGCTCAGTCATCAGATTCTTGAAGATGCAAGATTATTATCAGTTTTTATTCCACAAGAAGAAATTTGGTTGTAAGGCCAATGTATCTCTTTTTAACACATTGGCCCACAAAATACATATAAAAAAATCAAACTGGTAGTGGTGGTTTTGCCAAGATCTCCCAACAATCTAGTTCCTCCTGTGCATAGGCATACAGCTATCCCTCCTACAAAATACTATAAAACACTTCTTTAAGGATTGCTGTGAAACTACTTGCCCTATAGGAAGTGACAGGTTAGGCCTCTCAGTGTGCCAATTTCACATTCTGAAAGGAAGCCCCCAACTACAGGCAGGACCTTCACTTTTTCCAAGAATATAGACCAGGTGACTTGACACTTCCCTGCCTGAAAAGCAAGAGAGTCCTTTGGAAGTAATAGGTGACTATACAGGAAACATTTGGTTTTTTTTTAAGAAAAGAAGACTCAGTGCAGAACATAGTATATTCTCTGAATTTGGTAATAACATAATCACCTCCTGAAGATACTATAATAAAATGGACCCAAGATTGTGAAGGACCAGCGGGGTTTTGAAATGATTATTCTCTTTCTTGGCCCATCACCTGTCTTGCTTTGACAACCTAGGAAAATTAACTCTATAAGCAGTCAAGAAGCTAACCCTTAGCTCAATTTGTACATGATATTTCACTATGAAAGATTTGTTTCATTTTTTCTTGTCCATAGGGAGTTCTGGCTAAAGGGAATCAGCCCCCAAGAGCCATACAACAGGAGAGATCAGACTAGTAGAGTTTAGGGAAGGTGGCAATAGCAGGGGAGGGGCATTGGCTAGTTCTTGCCTTGTTTCATCTGATTGAAAAAAAAAAAATCACTTCCGCAGACATGAGAGAGTCTAACTCTCAAGCAGTTCTAAGATGCTGGCTGGAGATTTTCTTCTGTTTTCTGATGTCATTTTGTGGCTGATGAAATTTCCCTTGTGACTCTATTTCAACAGCTGCCTGCTCTCTGCACTCAATCCTGTGTGGTTAAAGAGCCGGGAGTGGAAAGGCCACAGGTATAGCAAGAGAAGAGCATGGAGAAAGAAGATAAGCAAAGAAAAGGGAATACAGAGAAGAGAAGCTTTAAAAAGGGGGAAAGGGGGTTGGGGGAGTGTGACAGAAAGAAAAGTGAGAAAGCTCATGTGATTGGGGAAGCATTTTTAAAATCAGGTTGTCTGCAATATTAATCAAAAACTCTGGCAGCAAGATAGAGAAACTGGGCCCCTGCTATTCCAGGAGACAAGCGGCACAGTCTAACGTTTTTTCTCTCCATTTGAAACAAATGACCTCTTGTCATGAATCCTACTGTGTGAAGCAATACCATAAATGGCAGCATTGCTCCCATGGCGATGGTCAGGGTTGACTCTATTGCTTGAAAAGAGACACAGCTTTCCTACTGTTGTGTTTAAGGCAGTTTTCAGAGCACTGGCATTCTTGTCTGCTCTGTTTTCAAAGGGATTCCATTTGCCAGTCATCTCACACATATCAACCACCCATCCCATGCGTTTCACTTCTTCTTCAGGTGAAATACCACCGCACTGGTGAGCACCAAAATGGTCAGAGTGCAAAGAGCTGTGATGAATACTTCACCAAAGTGAATAAGAAGAGAAGCCTCGACCTGGTCCCTATTATTGCTGAGAAGTCACCCTGGTATCGCCTTGTATAGAACCAGGATGTTTCACAGTGCCTCCTTAAGTGCCCAGGAAAGCACTTTCATTTAATTTGAGCTAAATTCAGGAGATTTTGCTAAACATTGACATAAATGCTTCATGGCTTTTAAGACACTCTATTGCTAAAGCTACTTAGCAGCAGTAACTTATGGGCAGAGTTATTGCTGTCATGTCACCTGCGGTACAAAACTCAGATGATCAGCCCTTCTTGGATTGTTGAAATGTATGAAATAAACAAATAAACATGAAACATCAGCCATATTAAGGAGTCGCGGAAACCCCTGAGGAATGTCTGTGGAAATGTTTTCAAAGGCTAACCTGAGGATCACCCTGGGCTTTGGGTATTTTTTAAGTAATTTCTTTTTTTAATTCTAGAAGAGGGCAGTAATATTTCTTCTCTAAATAAGACCTTGGCAAGGTATAAACCTGGAAAGTAGCACACTCATGGAAAACACAACCTACAATCTAAAAATAGCCTATGTAGGCTCATAGGGATACCGTACGGAAGCAATTCCACTCTGTTTCAGGGAAGGGTTCTTACCATCAGATATGTACACACTAACCCTGCCTCTTCACCTGACAGTTGTGACACATAATTTGTAAACAGCAAATGGGGTCTCCTTTCTAAAATATGAATGTCGGTGTCTCCTAGTATCTGGCTAATAATCTCCTTCAGGCCTTCCTCCGCACTGCCCCACCACTCTCTATCAGAGAAAAGACCCTCAGCCTTTATTCCTGCCTTCCTTCTAAAGGTCAAAACACATTTAGCACCTGGAAACTGTTACCCCCTCCCACCCCACACTGTACATAAGCATCACATATGTTCTTTCTAGAAATTGGTATACAGGTGCCATTTAATCAGTTCAAATTTGGAAGCTACATCTTCAAGGGTCCAAGAGAGCTCACTCCCCCCATGTTCCCCCCTTTACATGTTTTCTTGTAAGACATACAGCTTAATCAATTAACAAACTAAATAGCTTATATACTGGCAATATATTACAGATGGGTTTATGTCAGAGTAATAGATCACATGAAATGGACCATGTGGTACCCCAGTGCGTGATGTCTTGGTAGAGCCCTGAGGACACGGACAGTAGCATCTCTAAGTAAGTATGCTGTATGAATACAGACACATGCGGATCTGTATCTACATCCATCTGACTAGGCCAAAAGGAGCAGGTAGATGCAAGATAGAGACACACACATGCTGGATGGGACCACTGCACACCTTGTCATGCCATTTGAAAGGGCAGTTATAGGTCGCTGGTTCTGCAGCCATTAAAATTACACTTTATGGAAAAGGCTTCTCTAATTGTGTTTGATTTGCTTTCTGTAGTAAGCATCGTTAGAAGAAGACCAAAGCAAGAGCAACTAGAAGTTAAATATACATTTGGCTTAGCTGCAATACAGAACTCTGGAGAAGAAGCAGGCTGAAAGATTTGTTTCAATTTTAGGCTTGGATTCTCTCCCTTGCTGTTTTCTTGTCGTTGCATGTCTGTGTTTGTGTGTGTGCGTGAGTGTCTGTGTGTGTGTGTTCCATCACATCATCTCCTGAAGAACGCTGGGTTTCGCAGGCAGGCGGCTAGTCACCTGCAACAACCCAGGGGTCCTGCCGAGGCTTCCAGGCTGCTGTCAGTGTCAGATGCCAGGGTCTGGTCGGTGGACATGGAGGAGATATCGTTGACAGACGAGGATGGAGGGAGACTCTCACTGGTGTTCACTGCTGCACCTGTGCTAAGAAAATGAAGACCAACATGACTAAACCTGGAACTGGACTCAGCTGAATGTCACTCAGGTTGCAGGCACGGGCACATATGATGGGGATGTCTGGTCCATCACTCATTCAACAAACTTTCATAGAACAACAAATACAGAGCACTGTATTAGATGGTGAAAATCAAGATAACAACACAGCATCCCTGGTCACAAGTTATTCACAGGCTAATGCAGTAATTGTCAAATTTCACTCTACCTTAGAGATCACCTGTAATGCTCTTAAAGGAAAACAAAAAAATAAACAATAAAACACCACTAAAAACCCCAATCACCCCTTGTAACTCCAATATTGTAATACAGTTGGCCTTGGGTGAAGTCAAGGCATTTGCATGTTTTAAAAGCTCCCCAGAGACTGTGGTGTCAAGGGCTGAAGACCACTGTTCTATGGAGAAGGCAAATGAGCAAAACCCTTTAATGTAATCATCTGAGCCTGGATGCTTTCAAATTCAGTGAGCTAAAACAAACACACATAAGATGCCTACCCCAGAAATATGGGCTGAGGGGAAGCCCAGAAATCAGAATTACTTGGAGGCTACAGCTCTAGAGAAATGAACGTATATTAAGTAAATATTATTACATAGTCATTAATTTGACATCAAACTTAAAAGTCCATATGGAAAAGCCAACTAGGACTGTGGATGAAAGTTACCATAGACCAAAAAAAGAATAGAAGCCGGAGCACACCTCTTGATTGTGTGTTTACTTTCCAGCAGGCTTGCTTACCTGGGAATCTCCAAATAAGAACTCTGAATTACTAACTTAGATTAATTTGCAAAATTTTAAAAATTTATCTGCTATGTGGGAATATAAAGACTTTGAAACTCTGAGAAGAAACTTGCTCATGGTAATCACTCAGTAAATACTTGCTGAGCTACAACAGCTTTGAGAACCACAGAGGAAAGATGAGCCAGTGGCATTGTAAAATCGGATTAAACCAGAGCACCCTGGAAAGAGTCCAATTACTTTTTCTCTTTATAGATTCTTTATACTCAAGCAATATGGGTGGTAAAATGTATGTTTTGTGAAATAGTTCGCTATTAAAAATATCTAAAGTATAAGCATCTAAAATAAGAGATGAGGAATTCTCACTACATTGTATTTTATTTGAGCAAATATAGTGTGTAAGATTTATTTGGTGAAAATCATAAATCCCAAATAAGATAGTGTTATCAGATAGATCTAATAATTCAGAAAAAAAATCTAATGAAGTGGAGAGGTTAACACAATCTCTTTGTTCCTGGCGTAGACATTTGTTGCCTGTGGAAAAAATGTGATTAAAATGTGACATTTGGACTTCCCTGGTGGCGCAGTGGTTAAGAATCCGCCTGCCAATGCAGGGGAAACGGGTTCGAGCCCTGATCGAGGAAGATTCCACATGCACAGAGCAACTGAGCTCGTGCACCACAACTACTCAGCCTTCACTCCAGAGCCCATGAGCCACAACTACTGAGCCCGCATGCCACGACTACTGAAGCCCATGCGCCTAGAGCCCATGCTCCGCAACAAGAGAAGGCACCGCAATGAGAAGCCCGCACACCGCAACGAAGAGTAGCCCCCGCTCACTGCAACTAGAGAAAGCCCGTGTACAGCAACAGAGACCCAATGCAGCAATAAGTAAGTAAGTAAATAAATAAATAACAAATATTTTTTAAAAAATGTGACAGTATCTGGAGAGGACACACACACATAAACTAAAACAGATTATATGTACCCTATATGCTTTTTAAATTTTTGTTTGTTGATTATAAATATATTTATGTAAATTATGAGAAATATAAAAAATACAGGAAAAAAGGTAACAATATGCACTCATCCTCAAATTAATGATAAGAACGGTTAAACTTCTGTTATATTTCTTTCTAGTCTTTTTGCTAGGAAGTTTCTTTAACTGTAATCATTTAATGTATATCCATTTGTATCCTGTATTTTCATACACAAAAGGCTTATGCATTTTTCATGTTCTTAAAAGTATCTGTACTTCCTAATCTTAAACTCTTAAAAGTATCTGTACTCTTAAAAGTATCTGTACTTCCTAATCTTAAGTATCTCTAGATTTTTAAATCTGTCTTGTTAACATCTTCCTGTAAATAATTTTACTCTCATTATCAGAAAAAATATATAATGTGAAGTTATCTGGTTTCAATTTATTCCAACTTTACTTAATTATATCCTTTACAGATATGGTGCAGAGCTAGTTCATTTCCTCTCATGACATATGCTAGTAGATTTCCTATATCAGCAGACAACCCTTGATTACATAGCCCAAATACCCAGCTCTGCTTTTCTCCTTGATTCTAGATTAAATTATACCAACATCCTCATGTTCTTTCATCAGCTTTGGCCTGTAATAATTGAGCATCACTGTGATAGGCTTCTCAGAATCATATTCAATTTTTCCACATCATTATTAAAGGGTAGTGATTAAAACTAGATATAGGATTCTAATAAAGACTTGATCAGTTGTGGGCCAACAGAGTGAGATTACCATTTATCTCCTAGATGATATATCCCTATACTACAGATGGCTTTCAAATCACAGTACTAGAGTTTAGATTTAGTTTTGACTTGAAATATAAAATATTGCCCATGTAAATTTTTTTAACAGTTTCATTGAGACAAAATTCACAAATCTAATTTGTACAATTCAATGTTGTTTTAGGATAGTCACAAAGTTGTGCAACCATCACAAGAATCAATTTGTAGTGTTTTCATCACCCCAAAAGGAAACCTTATACTCTGTTTCTTACCAACCCGAGGCAATGACTAACTTACTTTCTGTCTCTATAAAATTGTCTATTCTGGACATATCAGTTAAATGGAATCATACAATATGTGACCTTTTGTGACTGGTTTCTTTCACACAGCATAATATTTTCAAGGTTCATTTAAATCACTACTTCATTCCTTTTTATGGCTGAATAACATTCTACTGTATGAATACATCACTTTTATTTAACTATTTATTAGTCACTGGTCATTTGATGGACATTTAGGTTGTTTCTACTTTTTGGCTATTATGAATAATGTTGTTATGAGCATTAATGTACAAGGTTTTATTTCTCTTGGGTAAATACTTAAGAGGAGAATTGCTGGGTCATAGAATAGCTCTATGTTTAATATTTGAGGAACAGCCAAACTGTTTTTCAAAGTGGCTTCATCAGTTTACATTCCTACCAGCAGTGTATGAGGGCTCCAATTTTCCCCTATCCTCTCCAACACTTATTATCTATCTTTTTTGATGATAGCCATCCTAAGGTATGTGAAATGGTATCTCATTGTGATTTATTTGCATTTTCCTGATGGCTAATTATGTTGAGCATCTTTTCATGTGCTTGTTAAACATTTGTATATCTTCTTTGGAGAAATGTCTGTTCAGATACTTTGGCCATTTTTTAAATTGTGTTATGTTCTTTTTATTAGTAGATTGTAAGAGTTCTTTATATATTATGGATACAAGTCCCTTATCACGTAAGATTTGCTGATGTTTTCCTCCTATTCTATGGATTGTCTTTTCACTTTCTTTTCTTTTTTTTTTTTTCGGTACGCGTGCCTCTCACTGTTGTGGCCTCTCCCATTGCGGAGCACAGGCTCCAGATGCGCAGGCTCAGCGGCCATGGCTCAAGAGCCCAGCCGCTCCATGGCATGTGGGATCTTCCTGGACCGGGGCATGAACCCGTGTCCCCTGCATCAGCAGGTGGACTCTCAACCACTGTGCCACCAGGGAAGCCCTTTTTTCACTTTCTTGATGGTGTCTTTTGAAGCACACTTTTTAAATATTAAGTTGGATTTAACTATGTTTTTTGTCATTTGTGCTTTTAGTGTCATATCTAAGAAACCATTTCCTAACCAAAGATCATGAAGATTTACTCCTATGTTTTATAATTTTACCCCTTACATTTAAGTCTATGATCCATTTTGTGTTTCATTTTTGCATATGATGAGGTTGAGATTCACCTTCATTCTTTTGCATGTGGAGATCTAGTTATCCCAGCTCCAATTACTGAAAAGACTATTCTTTGCCCATGGAATTGTCTTGAAATCCTTGTTAAAAATCAATTGACCATAAATATAAGGCTTTATTTCTGCACTCTGAATTTCATTTCAATGATCTGTATGTGTATATTCATGCAAATACCACACTGTCTTGACTATTACAGGTTTATGATAAGTTTTGAAATAAGGAAGTGTGAATCCTCCAACTGTGTTCTTTTTCAAGATTGTTTTAGCTATTCTGTGTCCCTTGGCTTAATGCAAACCAAAAAGTATTTTAAAGTATCTCAACAAAATAGACCTGGTATCCTTTTGAGATAAGCTTTTTCTCCTTTCCTGGTTGAAATTGATTATGTGGACATGTTCCAATCGTCACAGTGAAAGCTGAGTACTGATTCAAGCAGGGTGAGATAAGACTCAGCTGAGATTAGGCTCCCTTATAAGATTGATGTTTACAAATAAACACAAACCCACAACAATGGCAGCTAGAGAAATTATACAAAAAATATTGAGGAAATTTCCCCAGTAAAAAACAAATTTTTACCTATAAATAATTCTGAATGAAGGCAACAAAAGTCAGGGCAGCTTTTAATAAATTCTTCATATACAGAGGATCACATTCCTACTGCACCTATTTTATAATCAGCATATTTTCAATGTACTTACCATTCTAAATGTTATGACATATGGGTTAGCCCATTATATATAGTTTTGTCACATGATTACTTCATGTTTATGTTTCCCTTGCTTCTTTTGATTTCTTTCATTATATTTCTTAATTTCTTCTATCTTCCTCTATCCCAACTCTTGAGCACAGAATAAGTACTCAGTTTAACAAAACGCTATCTTTTGTGTGTACTCTTCTAGAGAGGTTCTGTGAGGGAAAGCAAATTTCTCCCTGCTATGAAATGGATGAAACTGCTGACCTAGTTTTGGCTAAGGGAAATCACTTTGTTGTAGTTG